GCACCGGTACCGTAAAAATTCTCAATAGGTGTAATATTTGTCTGATTTTTTCCTACCACTGAAATCGTTTTGGGTATATTGTGAATATTATCAATTGAATAATTGGAAGTATCGAAATGTTCGATATTTTCTTTAATGTCATTATAAGCATTGTCCGTAAATATTTCCAAAATGAGTGAATCAGTGTCTGTATAACATAAATTTGAATTTTTATCGTATTTTGTTTTAATATAGCCATAATAAAAATCGTAAATTACAGTTTTTGATATATCTAAAATTGAAAATCCCACATAAAGAGGTTTATCATAACAAACTTTTAATTTTTGCATTTCAATAGCCACACAGTTTTCGGCAAATACCGAACAGGATTTAAAATTTGGTTTCGCTATTAATCCACCAGCACCAATAGCCCCCTTCTTATTTTCCCAATGAGTGCACACTTTTATGTGTTGTCTTTTATCTACATTTTCCATTCTTTTGCCAAAAATAAAATTCACGATGAATTTAAAAAGGTCTCGTTCAAAAGAATTTTTCGCTGAATTCCGAAGGTTTGTGTTTAACTCAATAAAGGGTTTTAACCAGGCAGATTGACTAAATTCTAAAATTCTATAGACGTTTATTAATTTCAGACCATTTGAGACATTTCTGTAATGTCATATTGGAATGACATATTTATATCTATTTCGTAAATTTGGAATTAGTTTGGGTTGTTCACTGGTTGGTGGGGTCATGGTTTCTGGACAAAACGGTAAATCATTATGTCTTTCGTGTAGATATGATGGATACTCTAAATCAACCTCCATTGGAGCAGTATTATCAATTTCGGAAACATTAAAATTTTGAATTTCGTTAAAGTCAAGCCACCGAAATCACTCTTAGGCAGTGACTGTGACATGCTATGGCCATAAAGATTCGTAGCATCGAGATATAGAATGTATGGGGAAGGTTTTGACGGATCATAATTTGATAACAATTAATTGGCTATCGCCATCCTTTTGCTACATTGACTCTTATTCCTTTTTTAAAGAAGTGAAGCATGTCAATGTCAGTCAAAAGCTGGAGTTCAGCTCTTGTAAAACGCAGCATAGCGTCCCAACTCAGAGATGGCGCTGTTAAGTAATGGGCGGGATCTAACTTAAATTTTTCCAAACATACAGATCTAAAATTTTCAAATATATCAGCCAAAAGAAGTACATCTGATTTCAAGTAAATATCTGTATATTCACCAAGTGTTGAACAATGAAATGTTTGCCACACCTCAGTAGCTCGCTGATAATTATTGTCAGAAATCGCTGTACTAGTTAAGTCATTATAAAATTTATCTTTAGCAGGTAATTTTGTTTCATTTAATTTTTCAAACGAATCTACGTAAGAATAGGGAAAAACGCCTGTATGCCTTATCAACTCCTTGTCGTCTTGAAAATATTTTCGAACTTGAACACATTGGTCAGATTCCAAATGTTGACTTAAGTTATCGATAGACGTTGGGAGAAATCGAAAAGAATCCACAAATCTTAACTTTAGAAACACACTGGGAAATTTCGGATCGGTCGATTTTTCGACAAGTATTAATTTTGAGAGTGAAATATATTTTTCTTTGGTTTGAGCAATTACCGAAACTGGTTCCTGATTTAATGCTAATTTCTTAATACATAAATGACATAATTTGTGAGGTTATGAAAAAAGATGGGAATATATTTTGGAACTTTAATATCCACCTATGTACGCATTAGGCTGCCGCTTACTGGATATTTTTAGACATGTTGTTATTATTTTTTTTTTATCTGTTTTATCTGTCACGAACTTAAAAACACACCCTAAATGTCATACGATAAATGCCCGATTTCTGATTTTTTCTCATAAAACCAGTACACGACTTCAAAGTCAACTTTGTAAATTTTTGGTACGCAATGTAAATTTATTCTCTCAAAACTTGCAGCGCGTTTTATCGAAGTATAAATTTAATACGAACCAAATATACAACTGCGATGAGACAGGAGTGACTACGGTACATAAGCCCCTCAAAATTATAGCTACTGTAGGACAAAAACAGGTAGAAACGGTAACCAGTTCTGAGAGAGAGGTGTCCTAGTTACCATGTGTATAGCCATCTTTGCCAATACATTCCACCATTTTTTGTGTTCCCTAGAAAGAACTTTAAAACCCCACATGATTAACTGTGCATCACCTGGTTCGAAAGGAACTGTTCATCCCAGCAGTTGGATGACAGCTTAAAATTTTTTGAAATTTGTGAAACATTTAGTGGATGTTACGAGGTAAACAATTACATATTACTGATTTTGGACAACCACGAGAGTCACTGCGACATAAAAGTTTTAACGCTACCTCCACACTGCAGCCAGAAGTTGCAACTGCTGGATGTGTCCTGCTTTGGGCCTTTTCAATCTTACTATAACAATGGACGACTGGCTACTAAATCATCCAGTAATACCAGTCACAATCTATAACATTGCTGAATTGACAGGGAAAGCACTTCCACAAGCATTCATACCATCAAACATAATTAAAGGTTTCCAACGAACTGGAATATCTCCTTATGATCCAGAAGTATTTTTTGGAAGCTCAGAAGTAGCTTCGGAAATCTCAGTTCATATGTGACAGATAGACCCCAAGCTGTTGATGAAGGAAATATGAGTTATTCGACGGATCAGTCAACATCTCCAGAAGAGATAAGGCCGCATGTGAAATGTCAAAATAGAGTTAGTATACAAAATAAAAGGACAAAAAAACAATCTACTGTTTTAACTGACACACCAAACATGGAAGAAAGGCGGAAGAGAGAGGAAGAAAAGATGGAAAGTATTAAATCTAAACAAAAATCGATAAAGCGCGCACTGTGAAAAGGAAGATTGTAGAAGAATCAACGACTCCAAGTAGCCTTGAAGAAATTGTTGATGATGATTCACTCGACGAGAGAACAGATTCTGAAGATGAGGAAAATATTCGTCCAAACCAAGAACATCTGATTTCGTACTCGTCCAATATCCACTTAAGAAAAGTATAACGCATTATGTAGGTCAAATTGATAAAATATAAATGAAAAAAATCTCAATTAATTTAAAAAAAAAAACCATCGCATTCTTATTTTATATTTCCAGAAGTGAAGGACGAAGATGTCATTGATGAAAGTCAATTGTAAACTTCCCAAAGGTCAGATAGTCGGAGGAATGGAGGGAGCAGCAAAACAACTCAAATTTAATTTTGATTTCATGCCATACAATGTATAATAACTATATTAACATGTTATCATATAAAATACAATTTATAATAATTACTGTCCTTTTAGCAATAATTTACTTTTATTTATTACTCTTGGAATGTCTCCTTATATACCATGGGGTGGTTCATTCTGGGATGAGTGGTATATACAGGGACGTGATAATAAACTGGGAATATTTTGCAATCAATAACTTAAAATTTGAATAGATAATACTAATATCGATCAAGTAAAAAAAAATCAAAGCTCCTATTAAAAAAAAATATGGTCTTATATGAAGAAAGAAAAAAACGTCCCTGTATAATATACCACCTTCCCTACATTAAGCTTTGATAACTGTCCTCAGTAGCAAGGAACCTCAGTGTTACTGATAATCGAGCTTTAACAGAAATTGAATCTTTAAAATTTGTGTTTGACTTTGTAACTTTTCTGACAATTAATGTAATTAGCTCTTCAAAATTAGAACAATACATTCTCATAAAATTATGAAATGATGAGCGTAGTTCCCCATGCAATCCAATATAATCATTTTGGATATCGTTTATCAATTGTGCAGCACCATCATTAACTCTTCTAGATAAAAGTGATTGAACCCAACATCTGTGTCGGCATTTTCTTCTTCTCTCACAAAATAATTTAAGTTTATAGACACCGTACATATATACACTTACTTTTTTCCAAGGACTTCAGTATAAACCAGTCACAACTAAGAATTAAAAAATCTTCTCTAAACATGTCGGTTTGTTGTTTGGTTGTTTGCAGAAGAAAATGTGTTCTAATTTCCTCATGATAACCAGTGGAAATGGATCGAAAATAAAAACAAAACTCGAAAAAAATGTAGCCCGCTTGATGGAAACAAAGATCCAAATGATCCAAAAAAAGTTTTGGATTTGTTTCAGTTTTGTTTTTATTTTTCAGGTTCTAGAAAACAGAAACACAACATAAACCACCTTAAGACTTTAACAGAATGGTGAACTGTTGTGCAATCAAATGCAGCAACCGAAGTGAAAAGAAAGAAGAGGGCATATCGTTTCACAGGTAAGAATGGAATTTGTTTTATGTTCCAGCGTTCCAGCATTCGTTGTTAATCGGTATTATTTGTTAATTTCATAGAGTTACTGCTTTGTATTACATTGACATTTTTATTGAATTGCAAATTTCATTTGGCACAAGTTTTGTCGCAATCACTGAAAACTTTCGTTCACAATTTGTATTGAAAGCAAGCTGATCCATCCCATTGCAGTACGGACAACCATAAGCATAGTATATTGTACAGTTGTAATTTATTTGGAAATAGGAAAAATAAATTGTTGTGACTTTCAAATACTTATATGTTCCAAATGGATACAGGAGGTTTAAAAAATATTGTATAATCAATTTAACGTTTTCGCTGTTTTCGTTAAATACTTTCAGAAATTTGTATATGGCGGTACAACTTCCCAAAACATACAAATTTTCTGTTGACGAATCACCGTCTTTACATGTACTTGTACTTCCAAATTCCTTGCCGATGGATAACGTAGGAGTGTGTGGATTGGAAATTTGCATTTGCAGAATTGGACTTCTTCTCAAAATGATCGTTTATGTTCAGCACGTTTTGAAGAAAAATGATTATATGCAACAAAATCAACTCCACATTTGTTACCTCATGCTGTACCGACAATGTTTCCATTGTTGCCTTCATATTAACAGCCAAAAACTGTGATGCAGTTTCTTTTATCAGATTAGTCCCACATAAGTGTATTGTGAAGGAATTGTTATATGCATACAGGCGGGATTCAAACCCGCGCAGATATAACTCTCGGAGCATCTTCTCACCTGGCGCTTTACCCACTGAGCTATCACCGCGGCCTCCTTAACCACATTAAGGGCCGCCGTGGTGTTAAATCAAAATCATATGGCAAAATCATGACATGGTTTTGGGTTAAGCCGACAGGAAGTAATAACATTAGTCGGGGACTATGTTCAGAAAAATACATTACGTAATGTTTTTAAAAATAATACTCCTTTATGAGGCGTTACAATTTATCAATCGAAAAGCCGGAAAATGTGGAATTTGCTCACCGAAAATTGTGTGATCCATTTATAATTAGAAACTACTTTAACTTATTGAAAACCACAATAGAGGAATTAGAACTGCAAGAGAAGCCTCATCTTATATGGAATCTAGATAAAATTAGTTTTTGTTCAGATCCAACGCAGACGAAAGTTGTAGGGGCAATAGGTGTCTGCAGAGAGAACACGTCTGTATTATTTGCTTTTAATGCAAATGGTGGAAAGGCACCACCGTAATTATTTTTAAAGGCAAACACATTTTGTACCACCTGGTGCTCCAGAAGGACGTGGCTATCCAGGAACCACCTATGCTGCTACCACAAATGGGTGAATGCAATCAGATGTTTTTGAAAATTATTTCAAAAACACCTTTCTTAGTAGCGTTGGCAATGAAAGGCCATTATTATTAATATATGATTGCCACGTCACCCACGTTGGTATTAACGTTATTTGATTGGCTATCGAAGCAAGAGTTACAATAATAAAACTACCTCCACACAGCAGCCACCTGCTCCAGCCGCTTGATCTTAGTGTATACATATATGTGTACTCATATATGTTTTACCGCGCGAATAGAAGCTAACGCTACCTGACCGTGTAAATAGATCAGTAGGGAATTAGCATTCGTTGAGTCCGTGTGCACTCTTAACCCTTTTGGACCGTGGCACTCTTTGTGTACGGTCGTGTTCCCCTGTTTTTTTTATTGATATGAAGTTTATTTTAATCGGTTATTGTTGTATCTTGTGTTGTAACTTTTCACCCACCCTGAGAGAGAAAATAAAGAGAGTTGCGCCCCGTGGAATTATCTTTTAATAACCACCCTACATATACCATTTTCTCACCCCTCGTATGTTGTTTTATATGTTTTGCTGTTGCAGTACGTAGTACTTACTTCAGGTTTTGTCATAAGAGGAAGTTACCTACTCAACCAAATGAAGCCACAGCTACTTCCCATCATGGACCTGGCATCACCGAGGCTCCTGGAATCTCAGCATGGATTTGGAACTACTTTACTACCTCTGGAGACTCTACAAAGCAAAGATGCTTTGTCTTAAGGGAGAGGGAGTTATGTATAACACACCCTCGAACTTGTAGGCAAACATAATAATAATTATCATCCTTTTTAAGTGTTTTTACACATTAAATGCGAACGCCTTGGAACAGTTATGGGCAAGGTTTCCCCCTTTCTTAAATTCGATTTCTGAGCTGGCACCCGTCACCGTGTGGGGGGTCGACTGCCCCCGGCGATAAGTCCACCCCCCCGCCCTAGGTTAATAATTCTCACTAAACCTGAAGCTCTGTGAGCAAATCGAATTGTAGATGTGCTATAATGCTCTTAATAAATCTCTTTAATGGTAAAAAAAATGTAAATTACTTATAACGTATAATTCTACTTCTTGGTATTACTTTAAAATGCTTACGCTGAAAAGATAAAGCGAACGCAGTTTACATGTGCAACATCTAATGTATAAAAAAAAAGAAAATATTCTTATTTTGACCGTTAAAGAATACAGTTGGCCTCTTTGGCATTTCATGTAAAATCGGTAAAATTTCATGTAAAAAAAAAATAAAGAATTCTTCTACATATCTGTGAGTTTTTGTGTATCTGGCTCGTCGAAACATCAAACGACATAACTCGCTCGAGATAAATTACGTACTCTACACTTGTGAGTTGTGACTGTGAACGGTGATATTTGCATTTTGCAGCGTAATATTAATAATAGTTTATATTTAGGTAAATTAAAATTAAAATATATTTGTCACTGATGCATGCATTATTTTATATTTTCCACATACAGAAATTTACGTCATAAAACCGGGACGAAAAGTTTCAATCGTTTGGAAATTTTGTACAAAGTCAGGGGACACTAAAACTGCGACTTTTAATCTTTGTAGGAAAACGTTAGGATTTTATGGAAACACAACGAATTTAAAACAACATATTAAAAGAATTCACCCCTTGCAGTTTCGTCAAGGAGAAGGCGTAATTCACGAAGAAAATAATAACGCGACGGAAACTACTACACCAGATACTGTTGAACCGTTACCTGGTCCCAGTACCAGTACATAAATAACTATTTCACAAACTAATATAAGTCGTGAAAAAAGTAATAATCAACTAAATAGAGTAACAGCTAGGTCTACTCATTTTAGACAGTTACGAATAAGCAAAGTTAATAACGAGTTAACAAAAACAGAAAAAGACGCGATCGAGAAATGCATAATAAAAATGATAGCTATCGATTATCAACCTCTATTACTTCTTGAAAATTCTGGTTTTCTTGAGTACACAAGAAAACTGCATGGGTCATACACGCTATCTAGCAGGAAAACATTATCGACAGTTTTAATGCCACAATTTTATACAGAGGAACAAACTAAAGTTAGGGTAATGTTAAATTCTATTGAAAACGTTGCAGTCCTTACAGATTAGACTGTATAAAAAAAATCGATTATATTTTTTTTCAAAAATTACTCTGAAAATATTGTTCAGGATGTCGAAAAAATGAGCCTGTGAAAATATCAGCTCTTAATTTTAATATAAAGAGGTCTCATCGCGATTTTCCATTTCCCATTTAATTAACATGGGAAATATGTTTTTCAAGCTTTGGAATTTTGTAACTCTACGACCGATTATCAGACTGATAAAACGAAGACATATTCTTGTAGGGAATTGAACGCACTACAAAAAACGTCTCATAATTTTTTGATAAATCTAGTCTTTCAAAAGTTATTTAAGGTTAAAGTTGGGATCACCAGAATTTTTGAGGTATTTTCACTTTTTTGGTGAATCTATCAAACTAATTGCAAAATTTTTGCCTTAAATTATCTTTTTCAGAGGCTTTTTGAAATTCTGAGAGTATCCTCAGTCCATTTGATCGGTAGTCTTGTCCAAAAATCCTCGATTTAGACGCGTTTCTTTGATATGAACATTTTAAATATTAATTTTTATTAGCAAACTTGATATTTATTATCTATAATTTTCTTTTCTACATTAATTATATCTAAATATAAATTAAAATCATAATTATAAATTGTTTTTGCTTAATAATTGAGTGTGTAAAAGTTTTAAAATCTCTTGAAACAATGACGACGGAGTTATCTGCTGAAAAATATAAACAGAAAATTAAAAACTTGCACCCCAAACAGAAGTTGGTGGTAATCTACAACGACATATTCTAGAAATAATTAGTAGACGATTAAGCATATTAGAAACCAACAAAATAGTAGCCAAAGCTACTTTTATAGATCCGAGACTAAAGAAAACTGCTTTTGGGGGGTAAATGAAAATGGTAGAAATGCTAAAAAATGGGTTACTGATGAGGTGACGAATATTGTAAATAAGTGCCCATCCATGGGTAACTATTTATTTTTAAATAAGTATTAACCAGGTATGTAGATGTCAGTTCTGGTGTTTTGGTTTCCCATTCATACTCCCTCATTTTCTCTTCTATCTTATTCTTAAAATCTTCCATTCTCTCTATTCGTATCTTCCATCCCTTGCTTTCTGTGTCAATTTCTCGTACAGGGTCCGGTCCTCGGTTTTCTTGCAGCTCGTAGTATATATTATTGTGGTGTGTCATGTTTTCCTCCTCGGATACTCTCCAGTCCCGTATGCTGTTAGTCAGATTGCTGGTGACGAGTGTAACATCTATATATGAACTACTTACCCCACGTTGAAAGGTTGGGGTAACACCAGAACTGATAACTAGCACCATAGTTACAATCTGTGACAAACTATTTGAAAAAAGAGGGGGAAATAGCAGGAAACGCAACGTGTACTGGTGGAATATGGAAATTGGTATGATGAGAACAAAATGTACACGAAAGAAGAGGATGTTAACACGAGTAAATGGTAGAATGACCAGCACAGAAGAGGAAAAAACGAAGGCCAGGGAAAATTATAAGGTATCAAAAAATGCACTAAAAAAAGCTATAATTAGAGCCAAACAAGAAGCATGGGATAGAATCGTTGAAGATGTTGAAAACGACATATGGGGACAAGGCTACAAAATAGCAACAAAACAATTTAGAAAGAAAAATGAACTCCCTGACCACATCATCATAGAAGAAGCTGAAAAACTATTCCCCAGACAAGTAATCTGTGACTGGAACTACGAGCCGATAAACCCTCAAGATATCCCACTCTTTACAGAGGAAGAAATACGCAATGCCGCCAACAATCTGAAGACCAAACGTGCACCAGGCCCAGACTGTGTACCGCCAGAACTTGTGAAGGCAGCAGTGGAAATAGCGACATCTGAATATACAGAGCTGATGAGTAACCTGCTAATACAAGGAATTTTCCCAAAGATGTGGAAAGAGGCCAAACTAGTACTGATAGACAAACCCCGAAAGCCAGGACAAACGATCACCTCATATAGACCACTATGCCTATTGAACAGTCACACAATGGGATAAAAATCGAAAAAGGTGGTCATAAGCATATAACTCGGCTGAATATTAAAAAAATCGTCTCAAAAATCGTTACTCGGGAGGTTTTTGAAGTCGCTGAATTCGAATCTGACAATATTTTTTCGAAAAACAAAATGGTGGATCCAATATGGCGGCCAAAAATGTCAAAAGTCGATCAATATTTGCCACAATCGTTACTCGGGGGTTTTCGGGGTCGCTGATTACGAATCTGACAATATTTTTTCTGAAAACAAAATGGCGGATTCAATATGGCGGCCAAGAAATTATAAAAGGATAAATATTCACCACAATTGTTAATCGGGGGTTTTCGGGGTCGCTGATTACGAATCTGACAATATTTTTTTCTGAAAACAAAA